TTAACAATACACGAACCACTGCGCCATCGCTCCCCACCAGACAGTTGGGGAGTGAATTAGTGAGCGAATAGGTGGGTAGGCCGGATGGCGAGTGAATGAATGAGATGGTGGGTGCGTGACATGGTGGGTGAGTGAGTTGGTAGGTGGGTGAGTGAGATGGTGGGTGGGTGAGTGAGATTGTGGGTGAGTGAGATGGTGGGTGAGTGAGATGGTGGGTGGGTGAGATAGTAGGTGAGTGAGATGGTGAGTGAGTGAGATGGTAGGTGAGTGAGATGGTGAGTGAGATGGTGGGTGGGTGAGTGAGATGGTGGGTGAGTGAGATGGTGGGTGGGTGAGATGGTGGGTGAGTGAGATGGTGGGTGGGTGAGATAATAGGTGAGTGAGATGGTGGGTGGGTGAGTGAGATTGTGGGTGAGTGAGATGGTGGGTGGTTGAGTGAGATGGTGGGTGAGTGAGATGGTGGGTGAGTGAGATGGTGGGTGGGTGAGATGGTGGGTGAGTGAGATGGTGGGTGGGTGAGTGAGATGGTGGGTGGGTGAGTGAGATGGTGGGTGAATGAGGCGATTGGGTTTTATTTCCCCCCACACTGCACCAGTCAACTCGGGCCGCCGGATTCGTATTTAACAATACACGAACCACTGCGCCATCGCTCCCCACCAGACAGTTGGGGAGTGAATTAGTGAGCGAATAGGTGGGTAGGCCGGATGGCGAGTGAATGAATGAGATGGTGGGTGAGTGACATGGTGGGTGAGTGAGTTGGTAGGTGGGTGAGATGGTGGGTGAGTGAGATAGTAGGTGAGTGAGATGGTGGGTGGGTGAGTGAGATTGTGGGTGAGTGAGATGGTGGGTGAGTGAGATGGTGGGTGAGTGAGATGGTGGGTGGGTGAGATAGTGGGTGGGTGAGATAGTAGGTGAGTGAGATGGTGAGTGAGTGAGATGGTAGGTGAGTGAGATGGTAGGTGAGTGAGATGGTGGGTGGGTGAGTGAGATGGTGGGTGAGTGAGATGGTGGGTGGGTGAGATGGTGGGTGAGTGAGATGGTGGGTGGGTGAGATAGTAGGTGAGTGAGATGGTGGGTGGGATTGTGGGTGAGTGAGATGGTGGGTGGGTGAGTGAGATGGTGGGTGAGTGAGATGGTGGGTGAGTGAGATGGTGGGTGGGTGAGATGGTGGGTGAGTGAGATGGTGGGTGGGTGAGTGAGATGGTGGGTGGGTGAGTGAGATGGTGGGTGAGTGAGATGGTAGGTGATTGAGATGGTGGGTGGGTGAGTGAGATTGTGGGTGAGTGAGATGGTAGGTGATTGAGATGGTGGGTGGGTGAGTGAGATTGTGGGTGAGTGAGATGGTGGGTGGGTGAGTGAGATGGTGGGTGAGCGAGATGGTGGGTGGGTGAGCGAGATGGTGAGTGACATGGTGGGTGAGCGAGATGGTGAATTCATGAGTTGGTGAGAGTGAATGGGCGCGATGGTGGGCGGGCGAGATGGTGAATGAGTTGGCGAGTGTGAATGAGCCAGAAGATGGATTAATGAGGTGAATGGGTTTTATTTTTTCCGACACCGCACTGGTCAACTCAGGCCGCCGGATTCCTCACGGTGGTGTGCTAACCACTGCGCCACTGCTCCCTACATATACAAAGACCCCTGTATAGACTTAACCTACTGTTGGGGCAAGTGCTGTTAGCGAGCACCAATGAAAGCCGGCACACGAGGTGGTAGGTGGCCAGCACCACGCCCGGCCGCCTTCGTCTCCCCATTGACGATGTTTACTACGCACCGCACCAGATACTCATTTGAGGCTGAGTCGACCTAAGGGAGGCCCAGGATCGGTTCAGATAATCGTCACTGGTGTTGGCCGTGAGCGGGAATCGAACTCGGGTCGCCAGGTTCGTAGCGCAGCGCGCTAACCGCTACACTATCGCTCCCCACACACAGACACACACGCAGCTACACTCACACAGACACACACACACAGACACACACACACATCTACACTCACACACGCGTCTACAAATAAAACATATAGAGGCGCACACAAGTAAACAGAGACGGCCAACGACGTTGTTATTAAAATTATATATTATGTTTTTGTACCGTAATTGCACCGTTCACAAATTATACACCACCAATCACGCACCACAACAAACACCACCACCACCACCACCACGTGTTTAATCCACGGGGAGGCCGCCCGTTGCCCCCCCCCCACCCCTCGTGTTATTCTCGTGGTAATTATTTTGGCAAAGGAATTTGGGCCACGAATCATCTCATTAAAACCCAGACGGATGAGTCGTAAAACCGCGAGACGGGAATATTGGGTTTTTTTAGCGGAGAAAAGGCGGCGGTGTAAAATTAGTCAAATATAAACCATCGGATACAGAACCCTCCCGTCTCATCCCATACAGAACCATCGTCTCGTCCCATACAGAACCCTCCTGTCTCATCCCATACAGAACCCTCCTGTTCTCATCCCATACAGAACCATCGTGTTCTCATCCCATACAGAACCCTCCTGTTCTCATCCCATACAGAACCCTCCTGTTCTCATGCCATACAGAACCCTCGCCTCATCCCATACAGAACCCTCCTGTTCTCATCCCATACAGAACCCTCGCCTCATCCCATACAGAACCCTCCTGTTCTCATCCCATACAGAACCCTCGCCTCATCCCATACAGAACCCTCCTGTTCTCATCCCATACAGAACCATCGCCTGGTCCCATACAGAACCCTCCTGTTCTCATGCCATACAGAACCATCGTCTCATCCCATACAGAACCCTCCTGTTCTCATGCCATACAGAACCCTCGTCGCATATTGTCCCATAAATAACTCTCGTGCGATCTCATCGGATCGCTCAGGGTTCTCCGGTTTCCTCCCAAAGCTAAAAACACCCCCCCCCCCCCCCACACAATGTGCCCGGTATTGGTCAAAGTGTCCCAATGCAGAACACATTGCCTGGCACGTGACTCCTCAATGGGCATCATCGTCGTCATCATCAGTGCACCCCGACCGCTGTGGCCACGTCAGCTGCAGCCCCTGCACACGTGACCCAGCGGACGGCCCACCGGCCGCTTTTAAAAGACAACCAGCTCCAATTAGCAATCGTGCCACCGATTTGAATGGGTGATGGACAAAGGCAAATGTTGTCCACCTCCTAGTCTGTCCATCTTTTGGTAATAATGAAATAGTCAGTTTAACACGTGACCAATATAATCACGTGACCAATATAATCGCGTAAATATGTGTCGCCAGAACCCGCCACCACCCGACACAGCCAACTAGTAAGGGTTGTCACGTAAACAGAACGTGGCCAGCTCGTCACTAGTACAGCACTAACCGGTAGTGTGTAGTGTAGTGTATAGTGTAGTATACTAGTACAGCACTAGTGTGTAGTGTATAGTGTAGTATACTAGTACAGCACTAGTGTGTAGTGTATAGTGTAGTATACGAGTACAGCACTAGTGTGTAGTGTATAGTGTAGTGTATAGTGTAGTATACTAGTACAGCACTAGTGTGTAGTGTATAGTGTAGTATACGAGTACAGCACCACCGGTAGTGTGTTGGAGAGCCAATCTGTACGACGTTTCGCCAGTAATTACAACTAGCTTCATCAGGCCACAGCCACACATCTGGCACATTTATATATTTACGCGATCTAACCCAAAACCAAAACAAACCTCTTATGAACAATAAAATAACATAATAAATAAATATCCGGTGTGTACCCTTCCACCAAAGTAAACGTCATAGTAATAATTGTCGTCGTCGTCCAACTTGCACCAACCACGGCCCGCCTTGTTGTTTGTAGACGGCTGTTGAGGCACAGCAACACGTGGTCGGGTTTCGCCCCCCAGGGGTCTCCTCGGCAGTATGAGGCCCGTGTACAGCGCACGCGGCAGCACCGCCGTGCCGGCTTGCCGGGCAGGACTGCTCCTCGTGAGGGCACTCCACGGGCCGGCTAAACGACGGGAGGGCGGGGAGCACCCTGGTTTATCCAGGCCTCGCCGGAGCAGAGGGTACCAGGGACGTGCGGTCAGGGGAGGCAGAGCCTCACCTGCCATACTCCAATGAAAATAGCTGCTACGAAAAGTAAAAAGAATAATCAAGTAAAATAAATATTTAGATTTTTCCACCGGTCTGTGTTATAAATGCCATTTCTGTACGATTCCAATCATTTTTATCGTCAAAATCGCCAAATTTGCGGAGCTCCGCTGCAAATACAGGAAGAGACGAGAGGTGAGGCAGCGATGAGCTCAGCCTCCCCTCTGATTGCGCAACCCCTCAGTAACTGGATGGAGCGCGGGCAGTAAGCGCGTGTCTGTTACTATCTCAGTATGTCACCAATGTAATGTTTGTAGACCCCCTCATTTCATGTCCTCGCCTTTCAAACTCCAGGTAACCTATTTCACGCATGTGTATAAAGATATTTAGGCTCCCTGGTCTCGTCATGAAACTGCAATGAAAAAGGACCAGGGGAGGCAGCTATCACATCTGCCTCAGAGGACACGCCCCCTCAGTTAAGACACGCCCCCCTCAGTTAAGACACGCCCCCTCAGTTAAGACACGCCCCCCTCAGCGTGTGAATCTGGCTCTGACACTCGCCAGTGCCTCCCCAGCCACTGACCTCACCGCACGTCACTGTTCGGCACCATTCCAACATTCTCCTGCGGCTCCAACGGGGATTCTGGTGGCGTGAAACCGGCCCCGCCCACCACCCCCGCTGGCTCCGCCCACCACATCACTGGCCTCGCCCACCACCCCCGCTGGCTCCGCCCACCACATCACTGGCCCCACCCACCACCCCCAATGGCCCCGCCCACCACATCACTGGCCCCGCCCACCAACCCCACTGGCTCCGCCCACCACCCCCATTGGCCCCGCCCACCACATCACTGGCCCCGCCCACCACCCCCACTGGCCCCGCCCACCACCCCCATTGGCCCCGCCCACCACATCACTGGCCCCACCCACCACCCACACTGGCCCCGCCCACCAACCCCCATTGGCTCCGCCCACCATCCCTGCTAACCAGAGGTCGCAATCGGGTACCCGATACCCGTACCCTACCCGATACCCATACCCGGCCGGGTACGGGTAGCCGTTTGCGACCCTGGTGTGACGCAACAGTGACGTCACAGGGGCGCAACAGTGACGTCATAGGGGCACTACAATGACGTCACAGGGGCACTACAATGACGTCACAGGGGCACTACAATGCCGTCACAGGGGCACTACAATGACGTCACAGGGGCACTACAATGACGTTGGTTGCCAAGTTGGGGCAGCGCTGCCCACCGGAGATTGAACGGTGCCGTTTGTTGCTGGCCGCTTGCCCTTAGGGCCTAGTTGGTGGCTGCGTTCAGTAACCGAGCCAAGATATATAAATAAATATTGCCGCCGCCAATGGTCGGCGGGAGGCGATGGCGCTCGTGAAGGCGCCCAAAGCGTGACACCACTGGTTACACCACTGGTTACACCACTGGTGCCGATTGCGCAAAAACAAAATATTCGGCGCTGATGGTCAATTGGGTCCTTGCTGATCGTGTGATCAGCCGGTGCCGATCGTGACATTAGCTGGCGCCGATCGTGAGATTATCCGATGCTGATCGTGAGATTATCTGTGTCTGATCGTGAGATTATCTGTGTCTGATCGTGAGATTATCTGTGTCTGATCGTGAGATTATCTGTGTCTGATCGTGAGATTATCTGTGTCTGATCGTGAGATTATCTGTGTCTGATCGTGAGATTATCTGTGTCTGATCGTGAGATTATCTGTGTCTGATCGTGAGATTATCTGTGTTTGATCGTGAGATTATCTGTGTCTGATCGTGAGATTATCTGTGTCTGATCGTGAGATTATCTGTGTCTGATCGTGAGATTATCTGTGTCTGATCGTGAGATTATCTGTGTTTGATCGTGAGATTATCTGTGTCTGATCGTGAGATTATCTGTGTCTGATCGTGAGATTATCTGTGTCTGATCGTGAGATTATCTGTGTCTGATCGTGAGATTATCTGTGTCTGATCGTGAGATTATCTGTGTCTGATCGTGAGATTATCTGATGCTGATCGTGATATTATCTGTGTTTGATCGTGATATTATCTGTGTTTGATCGTGAGATTATCTGTGTTTGATCGTGAGATTATCTGTGTTTGATCGTGAGATTATCTGTGTCTGCTTGTGAGATTATCTGTGTTTGATCGTGAGATTATCTGTGTTTGATCGTGAGATTATCTGTTTGATCGTGAGATTATCTGTGTCTGATCGTGAGATTATCTGTGTCTGATCGTGAGATTATCTGTGTTTGATCGTGAGATTATCTGTGTTTGATCGTGAGATTATCTGTGTCTGATCGTGAGATTATCTGTGTTTGATCGTGAGATTATCTGTGTCTGATCGTGAGATTATCTGTGTTTGATCGTGAGATTATCTGTGTCTGATCGTGAGATTATCTGTGTCTGATCGTGAGATTATCTGTGTCTGATCGTGAGATTATCTGTGTCTGATCGTGAGATTATCTGTGTCTGATCGTGAGATTATCTGTGTCTGATCGTGAGATTATCTGTGTCTGATCGTGAGATTATCTGTGTTTGATCGTGAGATTATCTGTGTTTGATCGTGAGATTATCTGTGTCTGATCGTGAGATTATCTGTGTCTGATCGTGAGATTATCTGTGTCTGATCGTGAGATTATCTGTGTCTGATCGTGAGATTATCTGTGTCTGATCGTGAGATTATCTGTGTCTGATCGTGAGATTATCTGTGTTTGATCGTGAGATTATCTGGGTCTGATCGTGAGATTATCTGTGTCTGATCGTGAGATTATCTGTGTTTGATCGTGAGATTATCTGTGTCTGATCGTGAGATTATCTGTGTCTGATCGTGAGATTATCTGTGTCTGATCGTGAGATTATCTGTGTCTGATCGTGAGATTATCTGTGTCTGATCGTGAGATTATCCGATGCTGATCGTGATATTATCTGTGTCTGATCGTGACATTATCTGTGTCTGATCGTGATATTATCTGTGTCTGATCGTGAGATTATCTGTGTCTGATCGTGAGATTATCTGTGTCTGATCGTGAGATTATCTGTGTTTGATCGTGAGATTATCTGTGTCTGATCGTGAGATTATCTGTGTCTGATCGTGAGATTATCTGTGTCTGATCGTGAGATTATCCGATGCTGATCGTGATATTATCTGTGTCTGATCGTGAGATTATCTGTGTCTGATCGTGAGATTATCTGTGTTTGATCGTGAGATTATCCGGGTATGATCGTGAGAGTATCCGGATCCGATTGTGATATTATCCTGCGCCGATGGTAATATTGTCGGGCGCTGTCGAAGCAGGGGTCCAGGTGGGAGGCGCTGTGTCTAAGCTGACAGCGCTGTCGACGGCGCTCACACGACGCGGTCCGACTCCAGCTGGTTCTGCTCGTAGAGGTGGTCGAGCGCCCCGAGCTGGGCCCGCATGGCGCCCAGGTACGTGTCCAGGTCGCGGTTCAGCTGCGCGCGGAACTCAGGCCCCGTGGGGTCGCCCTCACGTGCCGTCAGCGCCGCCAGGAACCCGTCCAGCGCCGGGGCCGCACGCAGCGCCAGCTGCGGGAACACCCGGCGCGTCATCGTGAGCCATCATCGATCCACTGCCTTACACCAGCTGTGATATCGCCACTACCAGACACCCATCGTCGTCATCGTGAGCCATGATCTATCGACTGCTGGGTGAAGCCCTTCCCAAGCAGCCTGTGGCCCGAGAATCAACTACCACACACACAGCAAAGATAAAGCTCCCGCGTGTAGCCAATAACAGACTTTTGGGGCAAGTGCTGCTAGCGAGTAGCACCTATGAAGGCCAGCACGGCGCACGAGGGGTGGGTGATGGCGAGTGTGAGCGAGTGAAACGAGCAGGGGTGCTGGACAGCTAAAATCCAGGTTGGTACAAGCGGGGGCAACGGCTGGTGCATCTGCCTATCATCTCAGTCAGTCAACTCATGGCACCTGGGTCTGTCCCGTGACCTCATGTCATCTTAGTCAGTCAACCCATGGCACCTGGGTCTGTCCCGTGACCTCATGTCATCTTAGTCAGTCAACCCATGGCACCTGGGACTGTCCCGTGACCTCATGTCATCACAGTCAGTCAATCTATGGCACCTGGGTCTGTCCCAAGACCTCCCGTCATCACAGTCAGTCAACCCATGGCACCTGGGTCTGTCCCGTGACCTCCTGTCACCTCAGTCAGTCAACTCATGGCACCTGGGTCTGTCCCGTGACCTCCTGTCATCACAGTCAGTCAACTCATGGCACCTGGGACTGTCCCGTGACCTCCTGTCATCTCAGTCAGTCAACTCATGGCACCTGGGTCTGTCCCGTGACCTCCTGTCACCTCAGTCAGTCAACTCATGGCACCTGGGACTGTCCCGTGACCTCCTGTCACCTCAGTCAGTCAACTCATGGCACCTGGGTCTGTCCCGTGACCTCCTGTCACCTCAGTCAGTCAACCCATGGCACCTGGGTCTGTCCCGTGACCTCCTGTCATCTCAGTCAGTCAACTCATGGCACCTGGGTCTGTCCCGTGACCTCCTGTCATCTTAGTCAGTCAACTCATGGCACCTGGGTCTGTCCCGTGACCTCCTGTCATCACAGTCAGTCAACCCATGGCACCTGGGACTGTCCCGTGACCTCCTGTCATCACAGTCAGTCAACCCATGGCACATGGGTTCTGTCCCGTGACCTCCTGTCATCACAGTCAGTCAACCCATGGTACCTGGGTCTGTCCCGTGACCTCCTGTCATCACAGTCAGTCAACCCATGGCACCTGGGTCTGTCCCGTGACCTCATGTCACCTCAGTCAGTCAACCCATGGCACCTGGGTCTGTCCCGTGACCTCCTGTCATCTTAGTTAGTCAACCCATGGCACCTGGGTCTGTCCCGTGACCTCCTCTCATCTCAGTCAGTCAGCCCATGGCACCTAGGTCTGTCCCGTGACCTCCTGTCACCTCAGTCAGTCAACTCATGGCACCTGGGTCTGTCCCGTGACCTCCTGTCATCACAGTCAGTCAACTCACGGCACCTGCGTCTGTCCCGTGACCTCCTCCTGCCAGCGAGCCTTCGACACTTGACGTGGCCATAACGTGCACATAGCCTGGCACAAGTGCCGTGGTGACCTCACCGCCACTTAGTGGTGAACGGCGGTTGTTGCTGTTGCTGTGAGTGGGTGCGAGTGTGGAGTTGGCATTCTCTCTCCCTGCTCTGCACTGGGTTTCCCCCGGGGTTCTGGGTCAGGCGAGGCGCCGAGGCGCCGGGGCACTCACCGCGAACACCCCCCGCACCACCCAGCCGTGGTAGCGCCTCAGAGTCCGCCCGTACGCATTGCCTGTGTGTGCACGGGGAGAGAGGTAGTCACCCTGCCTCCACCAAATCCGCTGGGTCAATCCGCAATCCGTTGTGTCAACTTGAAAACTTTAACCCATTCGCTCGCTCACCATCTCGCTCACTCACTCACCCGCTCATTCTCTCGCCAACTCACTCACTATCTCGCGCATTCACTCCTTCACCCACCATCTCACTCGCCCACCCACTCATTCATTCACTCGCTCACTCACCCACTCCCTCTTGCAACCGAGCGTAATCCTGCCCTCCCGTGTGTCTCACCTCGCTACACAAAGTAAAGTTGTCACTTGAACTTCTACTAAATCGCACCACAACGACTACAACAACAACAGGAACAGGAACAGCAACGAGCGACTCACTGAGTGCCACGTGCAGGTTGGCCTGGCCCTCCCGCACCTCGGTCAGCAGCTCCAGAAGGAACTTGAGGCCCCTGGGCCGAGGGGACGCGGCGGAAAAGGAGAGGAACGCGGCGGGGTCAGCGGCAAACGAACCGAGAAGAGCGGCGAGCGACGCGCCAGCGACGCCGTCACGGTGACGCACACTCACCCTCTCTCTCCCAAGCGCTCACCCTCTCACCCACGCACACGCCTCCCACCAACCTCGCCCCCCACATGCGGATCATCACCCTCTCCTCCACCACCCATGCTCACCCCCGTCATCACCCTCACCCTCTCTCTCCCAAGCGCTCACCCTCTCACCACGCACGCCTCACACCAACCTCGTCCCCCACATGCGGATCATCACCCTCTCCTCCACCACCCACGCTCACCCCCGTCATCACCCTCAGCCACTCGCACCCTCCACACACTCACCCTGTTGCTCGTCCCTCAGCCTCGCCCCAAAGTCCTCCTCCCAAACCACTCAACCCTCACCCTAACCCTCTCCTCCCCACGCGCCCTCCTCACCGACGCTCCCCCTCCCCCCGCTCACCGCCTGAGCCAGAGCAGCGCCTCGGTGGTGGAGTTGCGCACCAGGGCGGTGCCGCTGCTCAGCTCGTGGCCCACGATGCTCTGCAGCGTGGGGAAGGCCGCCCGGTCCGTCTCGTACTTCTGCGTGATTTTCTGTCGACCAAACACACGAGTTCTCACCCTGCTCACACGACCATCGCCCCACCCCCACCCCCGCCGCCCCCGACTGCCGCCAGACTCGTGCCCCACAAAACTTTTGTCTCCCGAATTGTACGTATGTTCAACTTCTTTCACACCGTACCGTAGCCAACCGTGATAACCATGCTAAAACTATGGATCTCTGTGTAAACGTGAAAGATATCTGTGTAACTATGTATATCTGTGTAACTCTATGGATCTCTGTGTAACTCTATGGATCTCTGTGTAACTCTATGGATCTCTGTGTAAATATGTATATCTGTGTAACTCTATGGATCTCTGTGTAACTCTATGGATCTCTGTGTAACTCTATGGATCTCTGTGTAACTCTATGGATCTCTGTGTAACTCTATAGATCTGTGTAACTCTATGGATCTCCGTGTAACTCTATGGATCTCTGTGTAACTCTATGGATCTCTGTGTAACTCTATGGATCTCTGTGTAACTCTATAGATCTGTGTAACTCTATGGATCTCTGTGTAACTCTGTGGATCTCTGTGTAACTCTATGGATCTCTGTGTAACTCTGTGGATCTCTGTGTAACTCTATGGATCTCTGTGTGACTCTATGGATCTCTGTGTAACTCTATGTATCTCTGTGTAACTCTATAGATCTCCGTGTAACTCTATGGATCTCTGTGTAACTCTATGGATCTCTGTGTAGCTCTATGGATCTCTGTGTAACTCTATGGATCACTGTGTAACTCTATGGATCTCTGTGTAAGTATGTATCTCTGTGTAACTCTATGGATCTCCGTATAACTCTATGGATCTCCGTGTAACTCTATGGATCTCCGTGTAACTCTATGGATCTCTGTGTAACTCTATGCATCTCTGTGTAACTCTATGCATCTCTGTGTAACTCTATGGATCTCTGTGTAACTCTATGGATCTCTGTGTAACTCTATGCATCTCTGTGTAACTCTATGGATCTCTGTGTAACTCTATTGATCTGTGTGTAACTCTATGGATCTCTGTGTAACTCTATGGATCTCTGTAACTCTATGGATCTCTGTGTAACTCTATGGATCTCTGTGTAACTCTATGGATCTCTGTGTAACTCTATGGATCTCTGTGTAACTCTATGGATCTCTGTGTAACTCTATGGATCTCTGTGTAACTCTATGGATCTCTGTGTAACTCTATGGATCTCTGTGTAACTCTATGGATCTCTGTGTAACTCTATGGATCTCTGTGTAACTCTATGGGTGTCTGTGTAACTCTATGGGTCTCTGTGTAACTCTATGGTTCTCTGTGTAACTCTATGGATCTCTGTGTAACTCTATGGATCTCTGTGTAACTCTATGGATCTCTGTGTAACTCTATGGATCTCTGTTTAACTCTATGGGTGTCTGTGTAACTCTATGGGTCTCTGTGTAACTCTATGGATCTCTGTGTAACTCTATGGATCTCTGTGTAACTCTATGGATCTCTGTGTAACTCTATGGATCTCTGTGTAACTCTATGGATCTCTGTGTAACTCTATGGATCTCTGTGTAACTCTATGGATCTCTGTGTAACTCTATGGGTGTCTGTGTAACTCTATGGGTCTCTGTGTAACTCTATGGGTCTCTGTGTAACTCTATGGTTCTCTGTGTAACTCTATGGATCTCTGTGTAATTCTATAGATCTCTGTGTAACTCTATGGATCTCTGTGTAACTCTATGGATCTCTGTGTAACTCTATGGATCTCTGTGTAACTCTATGGATCTCTATGTAACTCTATGGATCTCTGTGTAACTCTATGGATCTCTGTGTAACTCTATGGATCTCTGTGTAACTCTATGCATCTCTGTGTAACTCTATGGATCTCTGTGTAGCTCTATGGATCTCTGTGTAACTCTATGGATCTCTGTGTAACTCTATGGATCTCTGTGTAACTCTATGGATCTCTGTGTAACTCTATGGATCTCTGTGTAACTCTATGCATCTCTGTGTAACTCTATGGATCTCTGTGTAACTCTATTGATCTGTGTGTAACTCTATGGATCTCTGTGTAACTCTATGGATCTCTGTAACTCTATGGATCTCTGTGTAACTCTATGGATCTCTGTGTAACTCTATGGATCTCTGTGTAACTCTATGGATCGCTGTGTAACTCTATGGATCTCTGTGTAACTCTATGGATCTCTGTGTAACTCTATGGATCTCTGTGTAACTCTATGGATCTCTGTGTAACTCTATGGATCTCTGTAACTCTATGGATCTCTGTGTAACTCTATGGATCTCTGTGTAACTCTATGGGTGTCTGTGTAACTCTATGGGTCTCTGTGTAACTCTATGGTTCTCTGTGTAACTCTATGGATCTCTGTGTAACTCTATGGATCTCTGTGTAACTCTATGGATCTCTGTGTAACTCTATGGATCTCTGTGTAACTCTATGGGTGTCTGTGTAACTCTATGGGTCTCTGTGTAACTCTATGGATCTCTGTGTAACTCTATGGATCTCTGTGTAACTCTATGGATCTCTGTGTAACTCTATGGATCTCTGTGTAACTCTATGGATCTCTGTAACTCTATGGATCTCTGTGTAACTCTATGGATCTCTATGTAACTCTATAGGTGTCTGTGTAACTCTATGGGTCTCTGTGTAACTCTATGGTTCTCTGTGTAACTCTATGGATCTCTGTGTAACTCTATGGATCTCTGTGTAACTCTATGGATCTCTGTGTAACTCTATGGATCTCTGTGTAACTCTATGGATCTCTATGTAACTCTATGGGTGTCTGTGTAACTCTATGGGTCTCTGTGTAACTCTATGGTTCTCTGTGTAACTCTATGGTTCTCTGTGTAACTCTATGGATCTCTGTGTAACTCTATGGATCTCTGTGTAACTCTATGGATCTCTGTGTAACTCTATGGATCTCTGTGTAACTCTATGTAACTCTATGGGTGTCTGTGTAACTCTATGGGTCTCTGTGTAACTCTATGGTTCTCTGTGTAACTCTATGGGTGTCTGTGTAACTCTATGGGTCTCTGTGTAACTCTATGGGTCTCTGTCTAACTCCATGGATCTCTGTGTAACTCTATGGGTCTCTGTGTAACTCTATGGATCTCTGTGTAACTCTATGGATCTCTGTGTAACTCTATGGATCTCTGTGTAACTCTATGGATCTCTGTGTAACTCTATGGATCTGTGTAACTCTATGGATCTCTGTGTAACTCTATGGGTCTCTGTGTAAATCTATGGGTCTCTGTGTAACTCTATGGATCTCTGTGTCACTCTATGGATCTCTGTGTAACTCTATGGCTCTCGGAGTAACTGCCACGTCCTGTAAACGGCCGCCACTACCGATGGCCTTGGGCTGTGGCCGTCCTCGTAACGGGGGCCGCTCGGCTCACCGGGAGACCTTGGCACGCGTGCGGTCATCAGCGACGGGCAGGGTTGGGGGTGATGGGCAGGAGGGTCTGGTGGGGGGGGGGGCGGCACTCACCCGGATGTTGCCCACGAAGTCGAGCTTGACCGGAGCGAACGCCGTGGGGCCCAGCTTGTCTGGGGAGGAGGGGGAGGAGGGGGAGGAGGGGGGGAGTGGCGACACAGGCACGCGCAGGGGTCAGGGGTCGCACGTGGGGCACTGCACGACGAGCCGGCAATTATGAACCGCCCAGCAGACCGGGAAGAAGCAGAGGTGACGAGGCCCGTGGTGTGAATTGAAGAGTCGAAGCGGCGGTGCTGGCTCAGAGCTCAGTCTCCGACACGGCCAAGTTGAACCCCCTAAGAAGAACACCCAGACCCGCGGGATTGAACCAAGCCCCCTAGGCGTTCAGAGTCTCCGACACGGCCAAGTTGAACCCCCTATGAAGAACACCCAGACCCCGAGATTGAACCAAGCCCCCTAGGCGTTCAGAGTCTCCGACACGGCCAAGTTGAACCCCCTATGAAGAACACCCAGACCCCGAGATTGAACCAAGCCCCCTAGGCGTTCAGAGTCTCCGACACGGCCAAGTTGAACCCCCTATGAAGAACACCCAGACCCCGAGATTGAACCAAGCCCCCTAGGCGTTCAGAGTCTCCGACACGGCCAAGTTGAACCCCCTAAGAAGAACACCCAGACCCCGAGATTGAACCAAGCCCCCTAGGCGTTCAGAGTCTCCGACACGGCCAAGTTGAACCCCCTAAGAAGAACACCCAGACCCCGAGATTGAACCAAGCCCCCTAGGCGTTCAGAGTCTCCGACACGGCCAAGTTGAACCCCCTAAGAAGAACACCCAGACCCCGAGATTGAACCAAGCCCCCTAGGCGTTCAGAGTCTCCGACACGGCCAAGTTGAACCCCCTAAGAAGAACACCCAGACCCCGAGATTGAACCAAGCCCCCTAGGCGTTCAGAGTCTCCGACACGGCCAAGTTGAACCCCCTAAGAAGAACACCCAGACCCCGAGATTGAACCAAGCCCCCTAGGCGTTCAGAGTCTCCGACACGGCCAAGTTGAACCCCCTAAGAAGAACACCCAGACCCCGAGATTGAACCAAGCCCCCTAGGCGTTCAGAGTCTCCGACACGGCCAAGTTGAACCCCCTAAGAAGAACACCCAGACCCCGAGATTGAACCAAGCCCCCTAGGCGTTCAGAGTCTCCGACACGGCCAAGTTGAACCCCCTAAGAAGAACACCCAGACCCCGAGATTGAACCAAGCCCCCTAGGCGTTCAGAGTCTCCGACACGGCCAAGTTGAACCCCCTAAGAAGAACACCCAGACCCCGAGATTGAACCAAGCCACCTAGGCGTTCAGAGTCTCCGACACGGCCATGTTGAACCCCCTAAGAGGAACACCCAGATCCGCGGGATTGAACCAAGCCCCCTAGGGGTTCAGAGTCTCCGACACGGCCATGTTGAACCCCCTAAGAGGAACACCCAGATCCGCGGGATTGAACCAAGCCCCCTAGGCGTTCAGAGTCTCCGACACGGCCATGGTGATCCACCTGGCTGGGAGTGTCGAGCTGCGACTTACCGAGCACGGGGACGATGGAGGCGCACGCCCTCAGGAACGGCTCCACGTGGATCCCTTGCTCGTCCTGCAGCTCCGCGTCGCTGAACCTGGGCCGAGAGACAAAGACAAAGGTCCCCCGTGGAGCCGCTTGATCGACCATTGGGGGCGAGCGGCGTTCGCCGAGAAGCGCCTGAGGGCCGGCACGGCACACGAGCGGGTGGTGTGGCAAAGTCGATACCCGGCCGCCTTTGTCTCTCACCGGAGCCGATGGTTATACGCACACCGCTACTTACCAACGACTTTGGTTACGGAGGTACTGTTCGTAAGTCAATTTGTTCGCGAGTTCAACTTTACTCCTGTCGATTCCAACGATGTTGTATGGCGTGTACACTAAACACGGGGAAAAGCTTTAAAATCTCCTATAGGTGTAGATGTCACTGGTTCGTCATGTGTTGCAGATCTAGATGCCACTGGTTCTTCACGTTCTGCAGATGTAGAAGCCACTGGTTCTCACGTTCTGCAGATGTAAAAGCCACTGGTTCTTCACGTTCTGCAGATGTAGATGCCACTGGTTCTTTACGTTCTGCAGATGTAGATGCCACTGGTTCTTCACGTTCTGCAGATGTAGATGCCACTGGTTCTTCACGTTCTGCAGATGTAGATGCCACTGGTTCTTCACGTTCTGCAGGTGTAGATGCCACCGGTTCTTCACGTTCTGCAGATGTAGATGCCACCGGTTCTTCACGTTCTGCAGATGTAGATGCCACTGGTTCTTCACGTTCTGTAGATGTAGATGCCACTGGTTCTTCACGTTCTGCAGATGTAGATGCCACTGGTTCTTCACGTTCTGTAGATGTAGATGCCACTGGTTCTTCACGTTCTGCAGATGTAGATGCCACCGGTTCTTCACGTTCTGCAGATGTAGATGCCACTGGTTCTTCACGTTCTGCAGATGTAGATGCCACCGGTTCTTCACGTTCTGTAGATGTAGATGCCACTGGTTCTTCACGTTCTGTAGATGTAGATGCCACCGGTTCTTCACGTTCTGCAGATGTAGATGCCACTGGTTCTTCACATTCTGCAGATGTAGATGCCACTGGTTCTTCACGTTCTGCAGATGTAGATGCCACTGGTTCTTCACATTCTGCAGATGTAGATGCCACTGGTTCTTCACGTTCTGCAGATGTAGATGCCACTGGTTCTTCACGTTCTGCAGATGTAGATGCCACCGGTTCTTCACGTTCTGCAGATGTAGATGCCACTGGTTCTTCACGTTCTACAGATGTAGATGCCACTGGTTCTTCACGTTCTACAGATGTAGATGCCACTGGTTCTTCACGTTCTACAGATGTAGATGCCACTGGTTCTTCACGTTCTGCAGATGTAGATGCCACTGGTTCTTCACGTTCTACAGATGTAGATGCCACTGGTTCTTCACGTTCTGCAGATGTAGATGCCACTGGTTCTTCACGTTCTACAGATGTAGATGCCACTGGTTCTTCACGTTCTACAGATGTAGATGCCATTGGTTCTTCACGTTCTGCAGATGTAGATGCCACTGGTTCTTCACGTTCTGCAGATGTAGATGCCACTGGTTCTTCACGTTCTGTAGATGTAGATGCCACTGGTTCTTCACGTTCTGCAGATGTAGATGCCACCGGTTCTTCACGTTCTGCAGATGTAGATGCCACTGGTTCTTCACGTTCTGCAGATGTAGATGCCACCGGTTCTTCACGTTCTGTAGATGTAGATGCCACTGGTTCTTCACGTTCTGTAGATGTAGATGCCACCGGTTCTTCACGTTCTGCAGATGTAGATGCCACTGGTTCTTCACGTTCTGCAGATGTAGATGCCACTGGTTCTTCACGTTCTGCAGATGTAGATGCCACTGGTTCTTCACGTTCTGCAGATGTAGATGCCACTGGTTCTTCACGTTCTGCAGATGTAGATGCCACTGGTTCTTCACATTCTGCAGATGTAGATGCCACCGGTTCTTCACGTTCTGCAGATGTAGATGCCACTGGTTCTTCACGTTCTACAGATGTAGATGCCACTGGTTCTTCACGTTCTACAGATGTAGATGCCACTGGTTCTTCACGTTCTACAGATGTAGATGCCACTGGTTCTTCACGTTCTGCAGATGTAGATGCCACTGGTTCTTCACGTTCTACAGATGTAGATGCCACTGGTTCTTCACGTTCTACAGATGTAGATGCCATTGGTTCTTCACGTTCTGCAGATGTAGATGCCACTGGTTCTCCACGTTCTACAGATGTAGATGCCACCACCGCCATCTATTGGGCGGCGGTTGAACTTACGACTCTCGGTCCAAACAGGCAACTGGACATCCAGACAGGTTTGTAAGTTACTCAGAAAGTTTGTTAGCCGAACTGTTCGTAAGTAGAGGAGTCCCTGTACTTATTTCAGGCTGAGTCCACCAAGGGGAGGCTCAGGACCGGTTCAGATAATCACAGCCGATGTTGGCCGGGACTGGGAATCGAACCTCGGGTCACCGGGTTCGTAGCACAGTGCACTAACCACTGCACCACCACTCCACTATTCACCACAACAACGGACGCAGTGACGTCACCACGGCGCATGTGTCAGGCTAGATGCACCTTGAGGCCATCGCGTGAAGCATGCCTCACTGGCGGGTCACAAGCCAGACCCAGGTGTTAAAGGTTCACCAAGATGCTACATTTCACCCATCACCACACGGTGTTCAACCACCATCACCACCACACTGCAGGTCACAACAGCACTCGCTCGCTCACCCACGCGCTCACCCACACAGTCACCCACGCACTCACCCTTGCACTCACCCACGCACTCACCCTTGCACTCACTCGCTCACCCTCGCACTCACTCGCTCACCCTCGCACTCACTCACTCACTCACCCACGACTCACCCGCTCACCCACGCACTCACCCACGCACTCACCCACACACTCACCCACACACTCACCCAAGCACTCACTCGCTCGCCCTCTCACAAACTCGGCTCACCCGTCCATCCATGCACTAACTCGCCTATCTGCTCACCCGCTCACTCAGCCCCGCCCACCTCAATGCAAGACACGCGCCAACAACTCGATAGCAGTGCTGTTTGTTGCTGGCCGTGTCAACGAGCCGCGTGCTCACGCTCACTCAGCGGAGCAACCCGCGACGCTCTCACCTCTGTGCCATGACACCGAAGAAGGTCTCCACCGTCTCACCCCCAGAGTCCTCACCCCCGCCGTCCTCACCCTCACCACCAGCGTCCTCACCCTCAACCCCAGGGTCCTCACCCTCGCCCCAACAGTCCTCACCCTCGCCCAGTGTCTCCGGATGGAATCCCCGATCGGCCACGTGTCCGGCATCCGAGTTCTCTCCCGCACCGCCCTCCTCCCCACGCCCAGCAGTGCCCACGTCGCCATCGTCAGCATCGTTACCATCATCAGCATCATCAAAATGACCGTCGTTGATACTATCGGCATCATCGGCATCATCGGCAGCAGCGGCATTAGGATCATCACCGTCGACCGTGGAGTCTTCCCCGTCCCGTCGGTGTTCTGCGGGTCTCCTCGACTCCTGTGTGGCGACGTCCGAAGTCTCGAACCTCGGACACACGTCGCTCCCCGCGATCACTTCAAGTGGCGTGGTGGTCTGGTTTGGCGTGTCTGCGTCATGTGACGCGGCCTGCTGCGGCGTGTCTGCGTCATGTGACGCGGCCTGTTGCGGCGTGTCTGCGTCACGTGACGCGTCATGTGACGTGGCCTGCTGCGGCGTGTCTGCGTCACGTGACGTAGCCTGCTGCGGTGTGTCTGCGTCATGTGACGCGTCATGTGACGCGGCCTGCTGCGGCGTGTCTGCGTCATGTGACCCGTCACGTGACGCGGCCTGCTGCGGCATGTCTGCGTCACGTGACACGGCCTGTTGCGGCGTGTCTGCGTCATGTGACGCGTCATGTGACGCGCCCTGCTGCGGCGTGTCTGCGTCACGTGACTCTCCACTCGCCGCGGCCTCCTGAGATGCGTGTTCACGGGGCGCTGCTGCGGCCGTCGGCTCTGGCCGGGACGCTCCCTCGGCTGCAGGGGCCTCCACCGCCGCCGCCTCCTCCTCCACCTCCTCCACGATCGCCCCGACTCGCGTTGACGCCATGGCCAGCCTCCGCCGTGACGAGGAGGAGGACGAGGAGGTTCTGCCGCTCTTGTTGCTGTTGTTGTTGGGCTCGCGCTTGCGGGAGGACGGGGGCGGTCTCGGTAGGGACCTCGTGGTGCTGGGGACACAAGGGTGGACGCAAGGGTGGACGCAAGGGTGGATAGACGCACGGATGGATGCATACAGATGGACTCTGGGAGAGAGCGACGAGAGCGAGCGAGCGAGCGAGCGAGCGAGACAGAAAGTGAATGAGTGAGTGAACGGAGTAAATGAACGAGTGAACGGAGCGAACGAAGGGGCGGTGGTGCGAGTGTCGGTGCTTGTTCACCTCTCCGTGTGCGATGTGCGACCTTGACTCTTGACCTGCGAACGAGACGGAGGGGGAGCAGAGCTTCGCGTCACCCCGAGCGGCAACTCGTGTACCGAGCCGCACACGTTGGGTATGGGCGCTGGCGTTCTCAGAGCGCCGCTGCAAGGCTATCACCACGTAGGAAGGCGCCGCTGCGTTTCACAGCGGGGGGGGGAGGGGGGGCGATGTTGCTGTGTGCGTGAGATCCTAATGGAGTAATTTGCAGGTCATTTAAAAAATCTGAATTGGGATGCTTTTTGGCCAATAGATATATTGTGTGTGTAATTAGCTATGGGGAACACCGGAGAATCCGGAGAAAACTCATGCAGAACAGGGAGAGAACATACAAACTCCACTCACTCACTCTGCAGAACAGGGGGAGGTCATACAAACTCCACTCACTCACTCACTCTGCAGAACAGGGTGAGAGCATACAAACTACACTCACTCACTCTGCAGAACAGGGGGAGGTCATACAAACTACACTCACTCACTCACTCTGCAGAACAGGGGGAAATCAACCAAACTCCACTCACTCACACTCTGTAGAACAGTTGGGAGATCATACAAACTCCACTCACTCACTCACTCTGCAGAACAGGGGGAAATCATACAAACTCCACTCACTCACACTCTGTAGAACAGTTGGGAGATCATACAAACTCCAATCACTCCACTCTCACTGTAGAAGAGCTGGGAGATCATACAAACTCCAATCACTCACTCTGCAGAACAGGGGGAGATCATACCATCTACACTCACTCACTCTCACTGTAGAAGAGTTGGGAGATCATACAAACTGCAATCACTCCACTCTCACTGTAGAAGAGCTGGGAGATCATACAAACTCCACACAAAGAAACGCCCGAGTCGGGAATCGAACCCAGTTCCTTCTTGCTGTGATGCGCGACCGTCGCCACTGCGCTTGCACCACCGCCACCCCACAAGGGGGGCGACGATGGCGACGAGCGGTGGGACGAGCGGTGGGGCGAGCGTGTACCCGTGTGCCCGCGTACCCTGGCTGGACGCTGCGGGCTGCGTGGTGTGGGCGACATCACGGCTGGCGGGGCCAGCTGCTGCTGCTGCTGTTGCTGCTGCGTGGAGGGCCGCACGCTGCTGGCCGCGGTGTGGACGCACTCCTCCAAGGCGCGCACAAACGTGTCGCAGGTGGCGCTCAGCAGGGACGACGCCTCGCTCATCCTCTACCACGCACAGAGCAATGGCGCAGACACGCTGCCATCCACGCGGCACACAGCAGCCTGGCTCGCCAGCGGCACGTGGACTCCCACCTGTTCCGTCTGTGTGGGATAGCGTGTTGCCCCCTCGCGCGCGTCGTGGTTTTTCTCTGGGACACACTCCCGTTTTCCTCCAACACGTATCAACACAGCGTTGGATCGGTGTTAAATCTTCCTGGATATATGGGATTTCTCCTGGCACTCTGGGTTTTCTTGGCACATGTATAACCACTCAATAATGGAGTGGGCCAAAAACCTACTGAGCCCCGGGCCACTGTTGGAGATTGAGTGCTGCGCCTCCCTCTCACCGGCACCGTGGGTTTTCTCCGGGCGAGTCTTTCCACACGTACAAACTCTATTGAAGAAAGTTGGCCAAATATCCCAACATAAGGACATGCAGAGCTTGAGAAATCGCTGGGTTCCGGGTCTGGCTTGCGCTTCCTTCCCACCCCACGCACGTTGCAAACTCCCCCCGGCGTTCGCACAAAACGCAATCCGCACGGACAAGCTATCCGACAACTGGGAAAGCATCGTCCGGGTGCGTCCGGCGACCCGGGTTCGATTCCCGCTCACGGTCAACACCAGTGAGGATTGTCTGAACCGGTCCTGGGCCCCCCCCCCTAGGTCGACTCGGCCTCAAATGAGTACCTGGTGCGGCGGAGCGTGGTGCTGGCCAACCCACCCCCTCGTGTGCCATCCCGGCCTTCATAGGTGCTACTCGCTAAACAGCACCTGCCCCAACAGTGTGTTCAAGGCGATACGGGGATATCTGTGTCCGCGTGTGCGTGCGTTTGCACGACGGTTTTCCGTGACGGCGCGTCTCACCTGCACGTCGGGCCGTGGCTCCTGGATGCCCTGGCGGATGAGCGACACCTGCTGCGTCATGAGGTCATAGTAGAGACGCATCTCGGACATCTTGGAGCACAGCGAGTCGCTCGCCTCCATGATTTCTGCTCGCGCGTGCAGAAGAAAATAAAAAAACACCCAACGGACGTCAGAATGAGATTGTTTACTGCAGACTGGCGATATCAAATGAGCTACAAAGCTATTTTGTCACGGATGTCCAGTATGGGCGGGTCAGCAAAGGATGTCCTCGAATTCGCAACAACAATAACACAAAGCCAATATTACACGGGTCATAACTGTGAGGCCGTGTAACAATCCGGACAAATGCGTGTTGCAAGAACGCGCTCCCACCACACGCCACAGCTCAAACGAAATCGTCGCGGAAGGACTTTCTGGACCTCGCTGTCCACAAGAAGCCTGGCGCAGATTCAAGCGGCACCGTCCACATTTCTAATCACTTTAACTAAAGTATAATAATATAATAATATGCCTCCATATTATTATATTATTAGCTGGAGGCATATTATATTTTTTGCGACATAGAATTATAATATATGACTTACTGTTAGTAGCTCAGCTTATTGGAGAGTATATTTAGTATATTGATGATACTGATGTAGTTTAGGTTTTAGTTTTTTACGTGGTGGTTTAGCTGCTGCAGCTCCTTACTATTAAAATTCCTTCCCTCTATTACTGCTAACCCTACTCCCTCCCTTTGATGCTGCTAATCCTGCATACTGCATAATGCACGGGCATAATATGACTTTTAAACCTCTTGATATGCAAATTCCTTTGTCAAGGCGCCTCTTCCCCCTCCAACCCAGCTTAAATATACACTGCCAAGCCTGGTGGTGCCCATTCAGACGCTGTGTTTCCGACAGACCTGTTCTTCACCTGAGGACGGCTGCTTGCGTTGTGGCCGAAACGTCGTGAGAATTATTTTATTATGTTTTATTTTTATTATTTTATTATTTCACTTCTACGTGAATTTTCCGAAAGAACCAAGAAGATTTAACTAAACAACTTTGTATTTTACTAGGCAAGGCCCACTGAGCTATATAGGTATTTTTTCAGAAGCGGCCTGGCCATCACAATTGATAGCTCAACGAAGTGGGCTTATCATCATCATCATCATCATGTGGAAATGTATAGCAGCAGCCAAATACTCTGAACGCGTGACGTTGATTCTAAATGTGGAGGGGAAACTGGAGGACCCGGAGAAAAACCCACACGACCATGGGGAGAGCGAGACACGCAAACCTCCAAACGTACAGCAGGCATCAGGGTCGGGATCGAACCCAAGGCATCGCGTGCGGTGGCAGGTCATGAGACTCTCTCTACAACCCACCCCCCCCCCCACAGTAAGCGAAGTCAAAATGTTAATAAATCACTCGTACACCACATGGCAATTGAAAAATTCCATTCGGCTGCGTCAGGTGGCAGAGGGTTTCTTAACAACACAGATGTTGCCTGGTCGTTCATTGCGCAGTGGGCTGCGCTGTCAAGGGCGTGTCCAGACACACAGCAGTGGTGCCCAGACACTTCCTTGTTCCTCGACAACTCAATCACGTTAAATTTCGATTTAAAGCTTTCGTGACTGCAGGGATTCATCTTCTTGGTTCTTTCGGTAAAGTCACGTAGAAGGGAAGTAATAAAATAATAAAAATAAAACATAATAAAATAATTCTCACGACGTTTCGGCCACAACGCAAGCAGCCGTCCTCAGGTGAAAACCAGGTCCGTCGAGGCGACAGAGTCTGAATGAAACAGCACACGAGCTTGGAGCATGTGTATATAAGCTGGGCGCCTTGACAAAGGAATTTGCATATCAAGAGGAATTTAGCATATTTATGGGAAATGCAGGAATGTGATTGGTACTACATATGCATGTGCATTATGCAGGATTAACAGCATCAAAGGGAGCTGCAGTTTGCTGCTGCTGCTGTAGTTTGCTGCTGCTGCTGCAGTTTGCTGCTGCTGCTGCAGTTGCTGCTGCTGCTGCAGTTGCTGCTGCTGCTGCTGCAATTGCTGCTGCTGCAGTTGCTGCTGCTGCAGTTGCTGCTGCTGCAGCAGTTGCTGCCTTATCCATTTTAATATAACACTATGTATTATTCTACCCACCCTAATGTGTATCACACTGCTATATATTTACTATACAATTACGACACCATACATTACTCTGCACACTGCAACAAGCATACAAATGCCACACTATCTGCCACTATACACTGTACCATTGACCGTCGTATCAATGGGTGAGTGGTGGAAGGAAACTTGCAGCGGAGCAAAGAATCCATTCCCTGCGGAGAATACAATGCCAGTGAGTGGAACGCGGTCTGACAGTCACCGTAAACGTGAACACAATCAGTTAAGATCCGAAATGGTTTATTACGTCCTTCCAATGATTACTAAGCCAGAATCCATCTTCTCAATCACGACCAACTTGAAAACATCACAACAACAACAAAAAGGAAATTGTGACTTGCGGTAGCATCATTGTGCCATGATCTAATTTCTAATCTGATCGTATATTTATAGAGCGCCTTAACTCAAGGCGCCTGATGTTCAGCTCACAAAACGATGACAGGATAGAATTTACACGATGAGACCTCCTTTACCAGTGGCAAAATATAGTAATAGGTTTTTACCCTTTCAACTGGTACAAAAACTGACCATTATCAGAGTTGTTTCTTTTTGTTTGCATTTTGACTGCTTGTGTTGCGGTTATTGCAAACATGACCCCTTGTATAAAGGTGTCAGTTTTTGTACCAGTTGAAAGGATAGAATTGTCAGATTGACGGGGGGGGGGGGGGGGCGGGGGTGGACGCTGGCGTGTTAAGAGCGTTGAGGAATGAGTGACGGCGACAGAGGGCGGCCATGCGAGCGAAGGAGGAGGGGGAGGGGGAGGAGGAGGAGGAGGGGGAGGAGGAGGGGGGCGCCGCTCGCCTTTCTCTTTGCGCGTGCGGCTGTCGGTGAGGCAGGCCTTGGCGGAGCCGAGCGCCACCACCCAGCCCTGCCTCTCCGCGGCGCTGGTCGTGCGCAAGTAGAAGTGCTGCTCGCCGGGGATCACCAGCTCCAGGCGGGAGTCATCGCTCGGGCACACTGTGGGGCGGGGGGGGAGGGTACGGGGTGGTAGAGGGGGGCACGGCGACACACGCAGGGGGGGGGGTAACGAGCAGTGGATAGAAAAAAAACAAAGTGGGGGGTAGGTAATGAGCTCTTGCTACTAACGTAATTTCTCAGTCAGAACACTGCTGACAGAAGGGACTCCACTTCTACGTACAAACACACGCGCACATCAACGGCACAACACAAGGCGCAGTAGGAGTAGTAAAAATAATAAAACTGATCATTATTATAATTAGTTCTTCCCCGCACTTCCGATTAGCACGGTTGGCTACGTACGGTGCGAAAGAACTTCAACATGCATACGACAATCACAAATAACATGAAAATAATAAACCTAGATTTATGAAGCGCAATTCGCACAAATACCATCGAAGCGCGTTAGCTTTACTGTACAAACATAAGTTGCAGATGAAAGCATGTTGTGCTAATCTTATTCTTTCATATGGATTCATGGCAGCAGATTAAAGATGTAATTTTAGATTTGCTATCCGCTCAATTGTCCATTCAGGCGCAGAGTGGATCTTGTCCGTTCGTCGTTTACAGGAGTATGAACTAAGACATTTACAGAGTGCTTAGAAAAAGTGTTAACACTTACATGGGACTATCTTTTTAATGAAAAAAGAACAGATCATACACTTTAACATGATAAACACATTCCTGCGGAGGGAGCTGGTAGGAACGTTGGGTTGCTCGGTCAATGGCCAGAGTCAACGGCGGCGTGGTGTATTCCGCAAATATGGCTGACTGTGAGGGCGGGCACAAGCCGGCGTGAGTAGGTTAAACGTTGAGTTTTATAAGGGCACCACGGGGTGACCAGCCCCTCCACACCCAGTCCCATCCTCCCCATCCTCCCCACCCAGCCCCTCCCTACCCTCCCCACCAGCCACTCCTCACCCAGCCCCTCCCACCCTCCCCTCCCACACCCTCCCCACCCAGCCCCTCCCCACCCTCCCCTCCCCACTCAGCCCCTCCCTTCCCACCCAGCCCCTCCCTGCACGACGGACACAATAATCCCCTGTGGGCTGGTGTAACCAGGAGGTTCCTACCAGTAAAAATGTACATTAATAGCTTCAAAAAGTCAGAGTCTTCACTTTTTCGCCATCATTGTCAACACGTGCCTGGAGGGACATTTCTCCGTGGTATTGTTGCAAATTCTCCGAAGTGTTCACATTTTTTTGAAGCACGCTGTATATATTCCATCAAGGTCCTTAAGACCTCATGATCTGCAAGTGCTCGGCGATGCCCAGGTCTCGGTTGGCGTATCGGGTTTTTGTCAGCATGGCACCCAGGCAATGTAACGCGCCTCACCACTTGAAATCAGGCGATCGGAGTCGGTCGATATATTCAAGTCTGCTTTGAAACCCCAGCTCTTTAAACTGAGCCTTCCCTCTTTAGTCTGGGCCGGTTGTTTTTTGTTTCCTGCTTCTCATGCATTGCGCATTGGGATCCTGCGACGGGATGGCGCAATGATACATTAGAATTATTATTATTAAACTAAGCACCGACGAGTTTCAAAGACGAGCGGAGCTGTCGTCCGTCCGGTGGGTGACCCCCCCTGACCCCCAGACCCCACCCCACCCACCCGCCCCCCACCCCGCCGTCCCCCACCCGCCCCCCCGTCCCCCAACCTACCCCCCGTCCCCCCACCCGCCCTCCAACCCCCGTCCCCCACCCCCCGACCCCACCCCCTGTCCCCCACCCCCCCCTCCCGCCCCCCCCACCCCACCTTGGATCTCGCACACGGCCATCTTCAGGCTGCCCTTGCTGCCCTTGCGCACATCCTCCTTGTGGTCGTAGTAGGAGAGCACGCCGCCGTCCAGCACGAACCAGCGCGGCTGCCAGCCTGCAGCCGCGACACCAGCACACACATGAACACACACACAGCACACACGCTCACACACACACACATGAACACACACACGGCACACACACAGCACACACACACGGCACACACACACACACAGCACACACACACATGAGCACACACACAGCACACACACACGCGACACAAGCACACACACAAGCACACACGAGCACACACACACGCTCACACACGAGCACACACACACACGCGACACCAGCACACACGACACGCGAACACACACGCACGAACACACGAACACACACACGAACACACGCACACACACGCACGAACACACGCACACACACACGCACACGAACACACACGACACAAGCGCACACACACGCGCGCGCACACACATGGGGCACAGATCAGATGGATGGCTTCCAACATTCGTAATTGTTTCAATCGCTTATGGCGCGTCTCCGCGCATTCTCATCTTTAGACAATCCGCATTTAGACTGGAAGAAATCCGGTGAGCTGTGAAGCTCCATTTCCTGAGCTATCCACAATGACTTCGGGAGCCGCGAGGAGGCGGCCGCGGACAAGCGAACGTTCGACCGCAAGCTCTGCGGTCCTCTGTATGTACGGTTGCTATGGCCAACGGATTAGAGGCGCGTACAGCGTGGTATTAAGACATCATCACTCGCGTCGCTGTGTGGGATGTGAACAAAACAGATTGGCGATGTCTCCGCAACATCATTTCTCTCCGTGTAAAACAAACAATAGTGCTTCTTTACACAGCCCATCATCCGCACGGTCTTTCTGGTTCTTAATTCAAAGCGCATCTGCTGCTGCTGCTGCTGCTAATGAGACACCACCTTGTGGTCCCGAGTTTGCTCGTCTTAAATCGATAACGCCAAGATTACTTTGCGTTCCTGCATGAATGGGGAAGGCCTCTCTCTGTACGATGCTCAGCTCAGTTCCGGCGCGCACATAATGATTGTGTTACCACACGTTCGTTATGGGACATCAAATTATTGTCCTGTGGATAAACTGGCCCCGGCCATGAGAACGGAGAATTTCCAGCACTGGCTAAGTGCGCCTGTGAGGAAGGGACGAGCGCCCCCTCACGCTAGTTTGCGCGGGAAACATTTTAAATTTAAGTTTTCACTTATTAAAAAAAACTCCAGGAGGAGATGGGGGGGACCGAGCCGCCTCGCCCGATGGGGAAGGCAGCAGCTGCCCGGCAGGACGATCTAGGCGAGACCGAGGTCTCAACCCACACCCCGAGAGGCCTAGTGACCCGGAGCGCCGGGGCCGCCGAGGCGCGAGTTGGCAACCATCCCTGGGGCGTGCCGCTCGCTGAAGAGAGGCAAAAGACCCCGGGCGCGGGAGCAAGAAGCGAGCGGGAGGGCGCGGGGAGCCGAGGAGTGGATCCGCGGTACCGTTGTAGTAGTTGGTCCATTTGTAGAGCACACCCTCCATTGCAAACCGTGGCGACGTGGAAGGCGGAAGTACACAAACCGTCACGTGAGGTATCACGTGACGCGCTGGCGGCCATCTTTGTAAGGAGAAGAGGTGGATGGCTTTTAATGCATTGTGGTGGCCATATTGCTCGGGGAAGAGGCCCAAATATGGTGCCCCGGCGGCCATCTTCCTAGGGAAAGAAGCCACAGTGCATCGGCGGCCATCTTGCTAAGGAATAAAGGCCCATACACGGTGTCTCGGCGGCCATCTTGCTCGAGGAAGAGGACTATACACGGTGTCTCGGCGGCCATCTTGCTCGGGGAAGAGGACCATACACGGTGTCTCGGTGGCCACATTGCTCGGAAAGCCACACAGTGTCTCGGCGGCCATATTGATAGAGAGGCTCAAACACTGTCTTGGCGGCCATCTTGCTAAGGGAAGAGGGCCCAATTGGATTTAATGAGAGGCGGGGAGCGATCTTATTCCCAGTTGTGGTCAATCCACTGCTGGATGAAGGCCTCGCCAAGCCGTCGCCTCCCCCCTGCGATCCTGCTATTTAAATACCCAACCTCGCGCCTCGTCGGTTTTTTATGACGTCATGCACTCCTTAGAGTTGCATCATCTTCGCGACGCAGAACTTGACGTTATTTACAATTTAGATTTTAAGTTTTCGTGACTGCAGGGATTCATATTCTTGGTTCTTTCAGTAAAGTCACGTAGAAGGGAAATAATAAAATAATAAACATATAAAAAATAACAATTCTCACGACGTTTCGACCGCAGCACTAGAACATTTTCTTGCTGTGGATTTTACACCTGATGATGATTGCTTGTGTTGCAGTCGAAACGTCGTGAGAATTTTATTGTTTTATATTTATATTATTTTATTATTTTCCTTCTACGTGACTTTACCGAAAGAACCAAGAATATGTCATTTACAATGTCAGTGTCTGCAGGAGGAATCCGATGAGCTATGAAGCTCTTTCATTCACAGGTGTCCAGTAGGGGGCCCGGGGTGAGAACGTGACAACAACAACAGTACAAACACACGAGGCCGTCGTAGTGCAAAGTACAAGCGAGGTCAACAAATCACACAAACAAATACAACACGAAACCATCCACATCCCTCCAGGCAAAGCCCCACTGATGTATTCACTTATTTTTCAGAAGCCACCTGGCTCCCACAAATGATAGATACTGTCCTGTACTTTCATATATGTTTTACATATATACGTAGATATTTGTGGGAGACATACACACATTGTCCGCTTATTTGTGGCTTATTTATTTTACTCCACAACGACGACTCGAGCGATTATGCAAATTGTTATGCACGACGCTGCCGATTAAGGGGCCGTCCATAAATGACGTCACGCGATATTGGACGATTTTTGACCCCCCCCCCCCCCTCGTCACAAAAAGTCGGACCCCCCTAAAATATGACGTCACAAAGCTCTGCCCCCCCCCCCCCCGCAAAAAAACATAAAACATGCTTCAAATCGCTTTAAACTATTGTAGTGCGTATTTAATGTGGCGCTGCACTCTGATGTTGTAGGAGAAAACATTTATTAAAAAGTAAATTTAATTAAGTAGAACGTGTTGTCTATATTGATGTGACGTCACATTTCACAAACCCCCCAGGTGCGTGACGTCACATTTCTCAAACCCCCCAGGTGCGTGACGTCATTTATGGACGTCCCCGAATGAATCTGAATACATTATGCTAATCGCGCGTGACGTCACACACACCCGTCCCGTGACGTCACGCCTTGTGCCACGCACGCCGCCCCGGCTGACGATCGCCCGCGCTCCCCGCTCGCCTCTCGCGCCCCGAGCTTGCGATGAACCCGGCTCGCTCTCCGCCGCCGCTACTGCTGCTGCCCCTGCTGCTGCCCCTGCTGCTCCTGCTGCTGGAGCCGCGACCCACGGCAGCCGCCAAGATCCCCGAGGCGGAGGTGAAGGTGGAGGTGACGCACCGGCCATTCCTGTGCCACCGCAAGAGCAAGCGAGGCGACCTCGTGGCGCTGTCCTACCGCGGCTTCCTCGAGAACGGGACCCGCTTCCACTCCACGTGAGCCGCCACGCGGGGCACGGGGGGTCAGGGTGGAGGTGCAGGGGAGGTGCAGGGCAGGGGAGGTGGAGGGGAGGGTGGAGGGGAGGGTGCAGGGGAGGTGCAGGGGAAGGTGCAGTGGAGGTGGAGGAGAGGGTGGAGGAGAGGGTGCAGGGGAGGGTGCAGGGGAGATGGAGGGTGCAGGGGAGGTGGAGGGTGGAGGGGAGGGTGCAGGGGAGGTGCAGGGGAGGTGCAGGGGAGGGTGGAGGGGAGGTGCAGGGAGGTGCAGGGGAGGTGCAGGGGAGGTGGAGGGTGGAGGGGAGGGTGCAGGGGAGGGTGCAGGGGAGGGTGCAGGGGAGGTGCAGGGGAGGTGCAGGGGAGGGTGCAGGGGAGGTGCAGGGGAGGGTGCAGGGGAGGTGGAGGGTGCAGGGGAGGGTGCAGGGGAGGTGCAGGGGAGGTGGAGGGTGGAGGGGAGGGTGCAGGGGAGGGTGCAGGGGAGGGTGCAGGGGAGGTGCAGGGGAGGGTGCAGGGGAGGTGCAGGGGAGGGTGCAGGGGAGGTGGAGGGTGCAGGGGAGGGTGCAGGGGAGGTGCAGGGGAGGTGCAGGGGAGGGTGCAGGGGAGGTGGAGGGTGCAGGGGAGGGTGCAGGGGAGGTGCAAGGGAGGGTGCAGGGGAGGGTGCAGGGGAGGTGGAGGGTGGGGGGGAGGGTGCAGGGGAGGTGCAGGGGAGGGTGCAGGGGAGGGTGGAGGGTGGGGGGGAGGGTGCAGGGGAGGTGCAAGGGAGGGTGCAGGGGAGGGTGCAGGGGAGGGTGCAGGGGAGGTGCAGGGGGAGGGTGGAGGGAGGGTGCAGGGGAGGTGCAGGGGAGGGTGCAGGGGAGGTGGAGGGTGGAGGGGAGGGTGCAGGGGAGGTGCAGGGGAGGGTGCAGGGGAGGTGGAGGGTGGAGGGGAGGGTGCAGGGGAGGGTGCAGGGGAGGTGGAGGGTGGAGGGGAGGGTGGAGGGGAGGGTGCAGGGGAGGGTGCAGGGGAGGGTGGAGGGTGGAGGGGAGGGTGCAGGGGAGGGTGCAGGGGAGGTGGAGGGTGGAGGGGAGGGTGCAGGGGAGGTGCAGGGGAGGTGGAGGGTGGAGGGGAGGGTGCAGGGGAGGTGGAGGGGAGGGGAGGTGGGGGATGTGTGAGGTTGGGCAGGGCGCAGAGGGTGAGGTGACAGTGATGGGAGTGGTGAAGTGAGGGTAGCTGGAGAGGTGCGGCGAGTGAGGGGCGAGGGAAGGAGGTGAGGAGATGGATAGAGTGGAGGTTCGGTGAAGGAAGGGCTGTGAGCAGGTGAGTACTGTGGAAGGTGCGGTATAAATATTAAATAACGAAGATGTGATTGATTGTTTTGGCATGCTTGTGACGATGATGATGGTGATGGCGTGATTGTGGTGATGATGATGGTGGTGGCATGGTTGTGGCGATATCGATGGCGATGATGACGACGATGTTGTCGATGTGCGCCCCGCCACCTCCTCCCATCACAGTGACGAGCACAACAATGGCCACCCGGTGTGGGTGACGCTGGGGGTGGGCGAGGTGATCCGGGGCTGGGACCGCGGCCTTGTGGGCATGTGTGTGGGCGAGAAGCGGCGCCTCACCGTGCCGCCCACCCTCGCCTACGGCAAGGAGGGCAAGGGTGAGGGGCCCCCACCACGCGCTCACCACCACGCGCTCACCACCACGCGCTCACCACCACGCGCTCACCACCACGCGCTCACCACCACGCGCTCACCACCACGCGCTCACCACCACGCGCTCACCACCACGCGCTCACCACCACGCGCTCACCACCACGCGCTCACCACCACGCGCTCACCACCACGCGCTCACCACCACGCGCTCACCACCACGCGCTCACCACCACGCGCTCACCACCACGCGCTCACCACCACGCGCTCACCACCACGCGCTCACCACCACGCGCTCACCACCACGCGCTCACCACCACGCGCTCACCACCACGCGCTCACCACCACGCGCTCACCACCACGCGCTCACCACCACGCGCTCACCACCACGCGCTCACCACCACGCGCTCACCACCACGCGCTCACCCACCACGCGCTCACCACCACGCGCTCACCACCACGCGCTCACCCACCACGCGCTCACCCACCACGCGCTCACCCACCACGCGCTCCCACCACGCGCTCCCACACGCGCTCCCCACCACGCGCTCCCCACCACGCGCTCCCCACCACGCGCTCCCCACCACGCGCTCCCCACCACGCGCTCCCCACCACGCGCTCCCCACCACGCGCTCCCCACCACGCGCTCCCCACCACGCGCTCCCCACCACGCGCTCACCCACCACGCGCTCCCCACCACGCGCTCCCCACCACGCGCTCACCACCACGCGCTCCCCACCACGCGCTCCCCACCACGCGCTCCCCACCACGCGCTCACCACCACGCGCTCCCCACCACGCGCTCACCACCACGCGCTCACCCAACACGCGCTCCCCACCACGCGCTCCCCACACGCGCTCCCCACCACGCGCTCCCCACCACGCGCTCCCCACCACGCGCTCCCCACCACGCGCTCCCCACCACGCGCTCCCCACCACGCGCTCCCCACCACGCGCTCCCCACACGCGCTCCCCACCACGCGCTCCCCACCACGCGCTCCCCACCCACGCGCTCCCCACCACGCGCTCCCCACCACGCGCTCCCCACCACGCGCTCCCCACCACGCGCTCCCCACCACGCGCTCCCCACCACGCGCTCCCCACCACGCGCTCCCACCCACGCGCTCCCCACCACGCGCTCCCCACCACGCGCTCACCACCACGCGCTCCGCGTCACCACCACGCGCTCACCACCACGCGCTCCCCACCACGCGCTCACTACCATGTGTTCACAACCACGCGCTCACCACCACGCGCTCACCACCACGCGCTCACCACCACGCGCTCACCACCACGCGCTCACCACCACGCGCTCACCACCACGCGCTCACTACCACGTGTTCACCACCACGCGCTCACCACCACGCGCTCACTACCACGCGCTCACCACCACGCGCTCACCACCACGCGCTCACTACCACGCGCTCACCACCACGCGCTCACCACCACGCGCTCACCACCACGCGCTCACCACCACGCGATCACCACCACGCGCTCACTACCATGTGTTCACCACCACGCGCTCACTACCACGTGCTCCCCACCACGCGCTCACCACCACGTGCTCACCACCACGCGCTCACCACCACGTGCTCACCACCACGCGCTCACCACCACGCGCTCACCACCACGCGCTCACCACCACGCGCTCACCACCACGCGCTCACTACCATGTGTTCACCACCACGCGCTCACTACCACGTGCTCCCCACCACGCGCTCACCACCACGTGCTCACCACCACGCGCTCACCACCACGTGCTCACCACCACGCGCTCACCACCACGCGCTCCCCACCACGCGCTCACCACCACGTGCTCACCACCACGCGCTCACCACCACGCGCTCACTACCATGTGTTCACCACCACGCGCTCACTACCACGTGCTCCCCACCACGCGCTCACCACCACGTGCTCACCACCACGCGCTCACCACCACGTGCTCACTACCACGTGTTCACCACCACGTGCTCACCACCATGTGTTCACCACCACGTGCTCACCACCACGCGCTCACCACCACGCGCTCACCACCACGCGCTCCCCACCACGTGTTCACCACCACGTGCTCACCACCACGTGCTCACTACCACGTGCTCACCACCACGACTAGGACTACACGCTCCACTACCGTCAGCGGCGTAGTAACGTCATTATCAGTGGTGTAGTAACTACATCATCAGTGGCGTAGTGACTACATTATCAGTGACGTAGAGACTACATTATCAGTGACGTAGTAACTACATTATCAGTGGCGATTGTGATAACGACAATGGTGACAATGACGATAACGATGAAGGTGACGATGACGACGACGACAACGACAAAACAGATAATGACAGTGATGATGATGATGACTATGCGGCGTGCAGGGCGAATCCCGCCGGACGCGACGCTCATCTTCGACATGGAGCTGCACGAGATCCGGAACGGCCCCCGCTCCCACGAGTCCTTCCAGGAGATGGACCTCGACGACGACTGGAAGCTGTCGCGCATCGAGGTCTCGCCAGGACAAAGATCACGACACTGACGACGATGACGATGACAATTACAGCGACGACGACAATTACAGCGATGACGATAACGGCGCTGCTGCTGCTACGTGGGCCTTGCCCTGCTGACTGACAAGAGGGCAGGCACGTCGCATTGGTTCGTGAGCGCTTGCCATGCTGATGAATCCCAGTGAAGTCAAATCCCTGAACATTGAGGCACCCGGTGGTACTGCCGATGCTGCTGCTGATGGCTGTTGATGCTATGACCAGAGATACTACTGGGAGGAAACTCCTGGTTACACCAGCCCACAGGGGATTATTGTGTTCGTCTGTCCGTCGTGCAGGGAGGGGCTGGGTGGGGAGGGGCTGGTCACCCCGTGGTGCCCTTATAAAGCTCAACGTTTAACCTACTCACGCCGGCTTGTGCCCGCCCTCACAGTCGACCATATTTGCGGAATACACCACGCCGCCGTTGACCCTGGCCATTGACCGAGCAACTCAACGTTCCTAGCAGCTCCCTCCGCAGGAATGTGCTGTTACCGATAAAGTTGCTGCTGCTGATGTTGATGACGCCGAAGCTGTTGCCGATACTAACGATCGCGCCGATGCTAAAAAACGATGTTGAAGATACCAATGTGGCTGCCGATGATGTTGACCTTACGGAGTCTAATCACGATGCCGATACTAACGGCGGTGATGTTGATGATGATGCCACTGATAATGATCCTGTCGCTGATGCTGTCGCTGATGCTACTGATGATGCTGCCGCTGATGCTGCCGCTGATGCTGCTGGACGTCGCTGTGCCCCGCCAGGTGGAGGAGTACCTCCGCAAGGAGTTCTCCAAGTCCGGGGTGAACCACAACGAGTCGTACCAGGGCCTCGTCGAAGACATCTTCACCAAGGAGGACGAGGATGAGGACGGCTTCATATCAGCTCGCGAGTTCACCTACCGGCACGACGAGCTGTGACGCGCGAGGGCGGGCGAGCGAGCGGGTGGGCGAGTGGGCGGGCAGGCGAGCGGGTGGAGTGGGCAAGTGTGTGCGTGAGTGGTTGGGTGAGTTGGCATAGTCAGGGGGCACAGGTGGTGCATCGGCCAGTCATCTAAGGCGGTCGACCAATGGTCCCTGGGTCTGTACCGTGACCTCCTGCCAGCGGGCGTTCGAGACTTTAAGCGGCCTTAAAGTGCACCTGGCCTGGTGCAAGCGCCGTGTTGACGTCACGGCCACTTAGTGGCGAATGGCGGTTGTTGTTGTTGGGCGAGTTGAGTGAGTGGAGTGAGTGTGCGAGCGGGTGGGTGAGTTAGTGAGTGGAGTGAGTGGCCGAGTGGGTCTGTAACCGAGTGAGAAAGTGATTGAGCGAGTGGATGGGTGAGCAACTCGGCGAGTGATTAAGTGGGCGAGTGATTTGGCCAAGGCCTGTGGGCGCTGAGGGCAATACACCTCCTCTCCGTGATACAGAATTCTACTCAAAATCTGAAATTGGCCCACTGCCCGAAACAGCGGCTAGCTGCTGAGAAGTACGGTTAAATATCCCTCACGGCCCGCGTGGGGAGCGGTGGTGCAGCGCTACGAACCCAGCGACCGGGGTTGGATTCCCACTCGCGGCCAACACCGGTGACGATTATCTGAATCGGTCCTGGGCCTCCCCACTCGGGAGACAATCGTGGCCGGGCGTAGTGCTGGCCACCCACCACTTCGTGTGCCGTGGTGCCGGTCTTCATAGGTGATATTCGTTTGCCCCAACAGCGCTTGCCCCAACAGCGCTTGCCCCAACAGTCAGTTGAACTTTGTGTGAGTGGAGTTGGCATGTTCTCTCCATTCTGCATGGGTTTCCTCCTGTCGCTAAACGTACAACGTAACCCGCATCAGTCAAATATCCCAATGCCCGAAAAAATTACCTGCTTATTACTCAGTTGGGATTATACACAGCAGCAACATCATCGCACCCAACCCCCGCCCCGGTGCCCCGGCAACGAAACACCTGACAGGACCCACGTGAACATGAGACTTGAGAGAACTCGTGAGTTGCTGAGGCTTTCCCGAGCAAAGAAGGCGTTATTGATGATAGGTTTACACCATTTGAACCTCCTTTGCCAGTAGCAAAATATGATAATTGCTTTTTTACCCTTTTATCTGGCAACAAAACTGACACCTTTTTTTACAAGGAGTCATGTTTGCATTGACCACAATACCTGCGGGTCGGAATGCAAACAAAAAACATAACTCTGATAATGATATGCACTGTCCTTGAAATTGATTGGTCCACACCCGAGACAGCTTTTCTTAGAGCCTCGTCTCACATGGTGTTGGACCAGATGACGCTAAAAGGTGCATTATGATAATAGGTGTTTCCCTTTTCTGGCAAAGGGGGTCCCATGATGTAGCTGCTCACATGGATCTCTCAATGTCCTGATAGTGCGTTGTCCTTGTGCTGGTTGCCTTGTGGCGTCCTCTGGTCTAACACTGTTAGTGAGACGAGGCTCTTAAGAAAGCTGTCTCTGGTGTGGACCAATCAGTTTAAAAGACGATGCACCATATACTGTCAAAGCATGTTTTTGTTTGCATGTTCACCACAAGTATGTGTGCTGAACATGCAGACATGATTCCTCGCAACGGTTTCAGTTTGGTGTTTTAACATCTTAACACCCGTTTTAGTATTGCCAGAAAAGGGTAAAAACCTATTATCGTAATGTAAGACTGGCAAAGGAGGACCCGTGATGAAGGCGTAATGATCACACTGCAATCCCGTACACGAGCAGCAGCTGTCTGCCCCCGGTCGCCAGGTGGCGATGTTGGGTGAGACGAAGCAAAACCACTGCGGTCGACTAAGGGCCCCCCCCCCCCCAGTCTACACACCCACCCTGGTACACCTCTACAACGCAGGTGACCCCATCGACCTTCACGCAAATGAAAGTGGTCGCACAGCGCGCATGCAAAATGCATCCCGCGCGCGTTTCGTTTGTAGTCCCTACCCCGCACCTGCGACTGGCACGGCTGGCTACGTACGGTGGGGAAGGAAGTTAAACGTAGAGACCGTCAAATTTCGATTTAAAGCTTTCGTGACTGCAGGGATTTATCTTCTTGGTTCTTTCGGTAAAGTCACGTAGAATGGAAACAATAAAAATAATAAAATAAAACATAATAAAATTATTCTCACGACGTTTCGGCCACAACGCAAGCAGCCGTCATCAGGTGAAGACCAGGTCTGTCGGGGAGACGCTTATTTTTAAATCCTTTATATTAAGTTCGCTTGCTTGCTTAGGACCGTGCAAATCTTTCGGTCGTTTTTTAACCCACTTCCCGTGATCCAATCGAGCTGACATTTTGCACACAGACTCGTGTGTGACAATGCATTTTCGTGAAAAATTTTAAAATATTTAATTACCAATTGTTTAATGCTGCCAGACAATCATCTGACCCATAGGTGGCAGCCATCTCAAGCCAGAGGACGAGAGGACTCTAGCCGCCCCGATGCCATGCATATAAAGGATTTATAGTGAAAAACTTTGTTTTTACGGGTTTACTTGTTATTGTTTCCATTCTACGTGACTTTACCGAAAGAACCAAGAAGGTAGAGACCGTCCTTTGACGGTGGCGAGGCCGTGAACGGCTTGCGTCACGGACCCGCCGACCCGAAATTGACATTGCCAGCCGCCGCCTGCGTCGGTGACGAATACCCAAAGCACCGCTCCTGGTTCTCCCTCTCGGTCGACTGAGCTGTACTCGCGAGAACACAAATACCACCCAGCGTGGCGCCGACCACACCGCCACACCACTCGCGTGCCGTGCCAAGCCCGTTAATAGGTGCTCGCAAACAGGGCTTGCCCCAGTGGTCCGATGGGTTAAACGGGGAGGGGGAGAAGAGACCCTTGTCACGTGCAGTTACAATTTACACTGCGGCCGTGTCTGTGTGTGTGTGTACACGTGTCCCACGTGCTAAATCACGCAGTGCTGTTTAGTAACGATGAGGCACGTGCAGTGTGTGGGGAGACTTGCTTCCCAACGCCAATGGCTCGTAACATACCACGGTGGGTGGTGATGGTGAATTCGGTTTTCCATAAATCGGTGTATTCCATAAATAGGCTAACGTTTAAAAAAAAAATCTACATTTGCCTTAGAAATTAACACTCCATATGTATTATTAGTAGGGTTGTTAACATGTTTTGTGCGGTTTTTTTATTATTGCATTGCCGGTAACGGCACGAAAGTTTGAAGTCACCGGTTTTCCCGCGCGTGTAAAAATGCCCAAGGACAAAAATTCTTGATACCGTTTTGGGGACGGCTTCAACCTCCTCCAAGACGTCTGGAGATGCATTCAATGGGCCGAGCACTCCAGAGGTTTTATACTTGAACGACCCATTAGCAGCCCGGAGTTGTGTGGGCATGTTAAGCGGTCTGCTCTTCGAATGCTCCTCCAGTCTGCGTGGAAGAGTAGACCAAACACCCGCCTGCCGTCTGCCAGCAGTAGCGTGGGCAAGCAATTGAAGGGCTGCCCCTTTATCTTTGACGTGAAAGGGGAGGGCGAATGTACCACGCGGTGACTTGTGCCGTCTGTACATTCGCGGGTGCCAATCCGGTGCATTCATTTCTAAAATCCCACCAGAATCAGGTGCCAGCGACAGATATATCTATATTTTTTAGAACCGGTAACCAAATCTGAAAACAGTTCCCCGGTTTACCGCCTATAGGTTTAAGGACAATTATTAGCGGTCGTTCTTTCCGGCAGAAGCAGTCCGGAACGCCGACGCTCACCAAAGCAGTATTATCAAAGAGCTCCCAGGCTCGGTGAAACGTTCACATCGTAGCAAACGTAAGTCGTGGGTTTTAGTCAACGACAGGTGCAGATAATAGCGATTTCACGGTGCTAAAGTACGTTTCTGCTGGAGTCCTAGGACGACGCTTGCTTGCTGCCAATAAGCTGTTATATATAAAAGTATTTCTGCGAAGCTGAGCGATGTTCACGTGTCGGCTGTTGACGGTGCCGAAGTACATTTCGTAACCGGCTCGGCGGCGAAGCAAGCGGCTCGCAATCGTGGGGTGGGGGGGTGAGGAAGAGTGGCTGACTTTGCCCATCATCCCTCCTTCGAGAAGATCAACAGGGGTTCGGTGCTGTGGAGAAGACTCGTCCCCACTGTAACAATGTGGATTTTTCAACCACTTTGCTCTGTGCGGCTGTACGATGAACACTGGGTCAGTGATGTTCGCTTGAGAGCAAGAAATCACTTTAGGCTTTTTTTTTTACAAAGTACATTTCACATTGATGGAACTGCCGGTGATTATAAAGTCACTTCTATTTTTCTTTCTTGAATGTTGCAATTTTACATGTTTGACGTAGATTTTTTTATGACTAACGGGGTTTTTGGTATGACAACACTAAACTCAAAAGTGCCTTACAAACGAAAAAAGTCCATACAAATAAAACTATTGTTTAAAAAATGTAAAGAGTGGCTTTCTGTGTTGCCGAGTCCCCTTCGAGTCTTTCTGTAAAATTGCGGCAGCTGTTCGAACGGCCATTTAATATTCACTTCAAGAGGTGGCCAAGTGGCTCGGAGGTCAAGAGTGCTGAGAGTACATTCTCCGTGGTGTTGTGACCATAGAAGAACAATACAACCAGGGCTAATGCAACTGGGTCTGTCTGGCTCAACGGCCGCCAAAAATACATCTTGCTTCCGGCAACACCACCACATCCAGTATACCATCTCGCTGTGGATATTAGGCACAGCTCCAGTCTACGAGAGGGCCCTAAAATATTTCGTGATAAATTAAGCTCTCGATTCAACAATGGACTTGCACTACCCTCTGCCCCTCTATAACTGCCCAACGAACCCCCTCTGCCATCCACAGCAATGCACGATTATACTGGTAAGAACCTCCTGGTTACACCAGCCCACAGGGAATGATTGTGCCCGTCCGTCGTGCAGGGAGGGGCTGGGTGGGGAGGGGCTGGGTGGGGAGGGGCTGGTCACCCCGTGGTGCCCTTATAAAAGTCAACGTTTAACCTACTCACACCGGCTTGTGCCCGCCCTCACAGTCGGCCATATTTGCAGGAATACACCACGCCGCCGTTGACCCTGACCATTGACCGAGCAACCCAACGTTCCTACCAGCTCCCTCCGCAGGAATGTGTTATAAAAAAAAAATTCCAAAAATACGGTGTCACAACAAACAAAACATGTGCACCCAGCTGCGAGTTTGTACGGGTTTTGCTTTTATTCGCCATTCACATTAAAAGTTCCCCAACCCCACACACACAACGGCTCAGAGCCGGCGACATTCCACAGGAGAACCGTAACTACCAACAAAGACGACTAATCGCCCGCTCTCTCCCTCCCTCTCTGTGCGAGGCGGAAACTCCAAAGCTGCACGTGCGCGCGCGTGCGGAGCTGCCCGAGAAGTGTGCAAGGCAACTCCGCTCGGCTGAAAATGAAATTGGACGGGGGACTGGAAATAAATACGGGGCGCACACGCGGTCGCCATCACCCTTGCCGCGTGTTTTTGCCGGCCGAGTTCTTCTGGATGTGTGCCCGTCCGTCTACTCCGAGGTCGACTTCTTGAGGTAGGCGATGAGGTCCTTCCTCTCGCCCTCCTTCTTGATGCCGGCGAAGATCATCTTGGTGCCCGGGATGTACTTCTTCGGGTTTTCCAGGTACACGAAGAGGGTTTCTTCGTTCCACACGATGCCTGCGCCGCCGGGGACGAGGGGAAACGGTTTAGAGAGCTCGGTTCGCGATCGCAAAGTCCAAGGTTCGAGTCCCGCTCGGGTGTTGGCACGCACATCATTTATCGTCGTCGTCGTCACCATAACCGCTTTGGGACTGACGAGCTATGTGGCAGCAATACTTTTGGGAAGTCAGCTAGTTGTCGTGCCTTGGGGATGTGGAATTCCACTAGTACCACAGGGTTGCTAATGGATGAGTGCCACCCAACATGGAGAGAACCAGTGGACTGTCAGGTTTTGTGGAAACGTATGATACAACAAAAAAATCCCAACCTACTATGTTGGGAGTGAAACAAAATAAAATATTATTCTAAACCAATAAAATATTGTCCAGTGATATCAGTTGTTTAAAATCCCATTTTAGTCTGCAGAAAAATACACTAGTATCATGTAACAATAAAAATACAAATGCAGGTTGAAACTAAAGGTGGTTGCAAAAAATGTACACATTTAATTAAATACCGATTCCCAAATCCTTCCCCAAATTATTTTTCATTACAAAAAAACTGCAGCCTCAGTGCACGACATATTTATGTACTGCTGAGGTAGACTCGTTTTAAAAAAGTAGTTTCATCATCATCCATTATAGATCCACTGCTGTATAAAGACTGCCTCATGTCATCACCATCTATCACTACTTCGACACCTGTACAACCAGGTGTCAATGTTTTAGAATTACCTCTAATGTAAAAACACCAATTGGGTGTTTTCGACAAGGTTAGAAAATGGTTGACATTTCACGATTTTGTGAGTTATCCACCAACCCCTCCCCTCCACAGTGCTGAATGACAGGCATGCACAAAGCCACACATGGATGGCAACTGGGAGTATCTAACGCAAAGTTCTTGAGTAAATATGGACAAAGCGAAATGGAAGAGGGCACCGCTGACATCTTGAAGAACGAACATCATGGCACACAGTGAGAAAGAGACAGCCACCAAAGCACGGCATGACAACATAATCGTTTATAAGGCGCCTCGTAACAACAATGCCACGCACACAAAGACAACAACGACCCCCGTATAGCCTGAACACAAAGACACACACACACACAGTGGCAGACACACACAGGGGCAAATGCAAACCGATGCCAGGAACGTGAGGCAACCCTTGCAGCCTTAAATAGCTGGGGCCAAGCGGTTCGTGGCATTTCAGTGACGGGAGCAGGACTCCGTAGCGATAGAGTTACCAACATAACCGGGCCGAGGCTTCAACCAGCAGGCGCTTATGACTTTGAGACGCCCTCTTGTCTATGATTAGCCGGGATGGCACAGTCAGTACCAGCAGCAGCAGATGTTACGGCACTGCGCAGATCTTGGGATGCAAGGCAGATGTTACCTAAATAACACCACTTTGAGTCATGAAACGGCATAAGTTGTCGCGGTTGTGCTGCTCTGTTGCTCTGCAATGTGTTTTTGGGTTGCACCGCGCGTTGATCAGCACCATCTCCGACGTTCCACTCCAAGTGGTGGGAACTTCTTCTTCGGGAACTGAATGTTCTCAAAGTTCCTGGAGGAGTTCCAACGCTGGACCAAGGGCTGCAACATATTTATATTACTAATTATTATCACTGCTGTCTGCCTGGCTCAAACAAGCGATGGGGTAACATCCACTTTTATGGTGTTGGTGGAAATTCTACATTCCAGTGATGGGGGGTGGGGGTACCACTGGAAAGTGAGAGCATGGTGGAGTGAAATGCTAATGGTCGAATTAGCATGTAGCTGCTGCTGTTAAAAAACAGCTTGGCTTTACATTCTTTATTTAACTGCCCTCTGGGTCCTTCCCCACACCATTCATCCAGGTCAGGGAGGGGACACATTTGTTCACTGTGGAGGGTCATTATACACTTACACGGTGCGTGTGCCGACCTGTGTTTAATTCCAAGGAAAACCAGTCCCATGGCGTTTTGCCTTTTTAAATCGACCCCGATCTTTCTCGGAAGCCACGGAGTCCATCCCCGCCCAAAGTGCTTTAATGAGTGTTGGGCGCTGCTTATCTATGCCCACTGCTAATTCGGAGCCAGTGGTGGAAATTCCACATTGGAATTCGTGGGGGAAACGGTTTCGCTTAAAATTACACAACAGCGGCTGCTGCTGCTGCTGGCGTTTCTTGCGTTAACTGGCGAGAAGTCACCAAGTGGTGACTACCGCTCCCCAAACACACTCGTACGCACACACGGACACACACCATAGACAAAACACTTGACACACAAAGACAAAGATCCCCCCGTATAGCCTGAACAGACTGTTGGAAGAAGCGGTGTTTGCGAGTTCCTATGAAGGCAGGCACGGCACACAAGGGGGTGGGTGGCCAGCACCACTCCCGGCCGCCTTTGTCTCCCGAGTGGCGATGTTGACACACTGCACCAGGTACTCATTTCCGGCCGACTCATCCTAGAGGAGGCCCAGGACCGGTTTAGATAATCGCCACTGGTGTTAGCCGTGAGCGAGAATCGAACCCGGGTAGCCGGGTTCGTAGCGCAGCGCGCTAACCACTGCTCTACCGCTCCACCGCTCCCCATTACACTTACAGTGCTTTTGCTGACGCGCTGCACACACACTCACGTAAATACATAGTGACAACAATAACAGTACGTGTGCGTGCGTGCACTTGGCCGCACCCACCCTTGGACTTGTTGGCGTCAGTGTAGCTGAAGCCCGGGGCCTGGCCGGTCTTGCGGCCAAACAGACCCGACAGGTTGGGGCCTGTCTTGTGCTTGCCGGCGCTCTCCACCGTGTGGCACTGGGAGCACTTCTGCACGAACACCTTCTTGCCCTTTTCCACGTCACCCATCTCCACTGCTGTCTCCACACAACTGATCTGGTGCGGGGTCAGGGGGTGAAAAGCGGTAGAGGGTTTTGTAATAATAATTTGTCATTGATTGAACGCACGCATATCATGGCGCGCGGCACCTCAACAGTGCTTTGCACGCCAAAATAGGCTGGCATCTTATATCAAACATCTGAACGGGCATCCCCGGTGACCCTGTGCAACAAAAAGGTGACTCGGCACCTGAGCCTGCAAGCGGGCGTTCGTCTCTGGCAGTCAGGGGAAGAAGATTGCTGCGCGTTTTCAAAATTAAGTCAATTAAGAGTACTTTTTTTTTGCAAATCTGGATTGAATGCCCTCGCGGGATCCTTTGACGCACCCTACGAAGGCGACGTACGTTTACGGTCAACATGCCAGTGAGTATCGACGTGGGCTGCCTGCCTGGAGAAACAAGTGGCAATGGACGTGCTGCCGCTTGGGCCACGTCACAGTGCGATGTAACTTCTTACGGCGGGGCAATTACCCCAGAACTCTGGAATTGTGCTCAGCAGGTCATGTGCTTCGTCGTTATGTCCGAGACTGTGCGTCCGGTTTATTCACATACGTCTATGACGGGATTGTTGGCACTGTTCTTACTTTTTCTTTCGTATGGATGAATAGCAGCAGATCAAAGATGTAAATTGTGATTCGTTATCCACTCAATTTGCTGTCCACTCCTTTAAAGGAGTGAAGACAGCATCGCGGTGGAGTGTTTAAGACGTGGTCGTTGGTTTGGGATTCGTGACCGCACTCGCAGGCTGCCGAATCTTTGACGCGCCATTTGTGCATCGGGTGGACGCATCGGCCACACGGCCCGGTCCCGATTCGGCTGATGGTCGATCATTGGCGGCGTGGAAGGTTGAAACCGGGGAGGGTTCAATGGTAGGGTCCTGTATGT